AAGAAAAAACACGAAAAATTATTCATCAAAACCTTCCTACCTTATTACAGATAACTTTCCACTTTTGCAAACTGCACTGCCCATAGAGACTGCATATTTGTCACTGCTAGGTTTTTTTTGTTTTTCCTAATTTAATAGTAAAATTTTAAAGATAAATCACCACTGTGTACACAAAAATACATATGTTATGGAACTTCTAAACATGCCCATTCGTAATGTTGCTTCTGCACTGATTAGTTGAACATAGTTTTAGTGACAGATAAATGTTTTAAATAGGGAAAAAATATGTATCATTGGTTGACTTTGCTGTTAAGTAGCAACAAAGGTAAGGTTTGAGGTTATAACTGTTGGGGGGTTGGTGGTAGGTTGTCGTTTCGGTTTTTGGGGTTTTCTTATCACAAAGCTACTCAACACTTTGTCAAGCCAGACAGTTTAAAAATGAAGAGGGAAGAAAGCAATGTTAAACCTAACACTTACATGAGCTGGTATTCGCCTAGATAAACTGTATACCAAAGTCATTAGCCCCTAAAAATAGCTGACTTACATTGACTGATCCTGAACTGCATTTTCATTCATTGGTATCAGTTATATTATACAATCAAAAACTTCTAGTAATGCAAAGTTATAATCAGTAAAATATGCTTTAGAAATAAACTAATATGCTTCAGAAATAAACTAAAGAACTTAGTAGAACTGTGAATCCGTAGTGTTCCAGTTGGTGTTTCTTGATCTATATGGCATTGAGATATCTTTTTATTTTTTTCCCTTCCCTTCCTTACAGTTGAAATAATTTTGACTGTTACCAGTGTTTGTACAGTTAATAGCTCTTGGTTTATTCAAAGATGGTTAACTTGAGAATTCAAGTAAAATAATGTATCATTCTTGCACTGCATGTTGTAATGTAAAATGGAAAGACAAGTTTTACATGTGTCTTGTCTAGCACAGCAACAACTGATTTTAAAAAATGTCATTATTCATTTATTTCTGAAATGCACAAAATAAAAATCTTTAATTCAGACAGTTAACCTTTTCCCGTGGTTGTTTGGAAAAAAGCCAAATATTAGGGATGATGCTGCTTGTCCAGTTGGTGGCAATTTTACACACATGGGAGAGATCATGAACTACTCGGGTCAAATATCAATAACAAAAAGTGCTAACAACAATAATCAACTTGTTAAACAAACTTACAGAAAGTTGAGCCCTATACACAGATTCTTATGTTCGTGTCAGTGTCGGTTGTCCCAGCTGGGTTTGAGTGGGATTGGGCTAAGAGAGCTCTGCATGTCCCTTCTGCTATGAATTTTTATATAATTTTAAGTCATAGAATCGTTTAGGTTGGAAAAGCCCTTTAAGATCATCCAGTCCAACCATTAACCTACACTACCAAGTCCACACTAAGCCAATCAAGGGTAGACTAGACTGAACCATGTCCCCAAGTGCCACCTCTGCCCGTTTTTTGAACACAAAAAGTCACGGCATTGCAAATTCCCCAAGAGAACAGTCCTGAGGTCCACTGATTAACAGCTGCCCAAGCGATACGCAGTTATTAGTTCACTTTCTGTGCAAAATTTCTACCACTGTGGAGAAGGGATTTCACTTCCCAGCTCTGCTTTGTGAAAATCAGAGTCTCACGGCACAGGTGGCCGTGGTAGATTGGACGTGTTTTGCAACTACCCCATTTCATTGCATGATTTATGAAATTAGGATTTACCTAATCCTTAAGTATTTAAGAAAGTAATTTCTGTTATAGAATCATAGAATCGTTTAGGTTGGAAAAGCCCTTTAAGATCATCCAGCCCAACCATTAACCTACACTACCAAGCCCACCTAAACCAATCAAGGGTAGACCAGACTGAACCATGTCCCCAAGTGCCACCTCTGCCCGTTTTTTGAACACTTCCAGGGATGGGGACTCCCCCACCTCTCTGGGCAGCCTGTTCCAATGCTTGACCACCCTTTCCGTAAAGGAATTTTTCCTAATTTCCAACCTAAACCTCCCCTGGCGCAGCTTGAGCCCATTTCCTCTCGTCCTATCGCTAACTACGTGGGAGAAGAGCCCAACACCCCCTCCCTGCCCCCTCCTGCCAGGAGCTGCAGAGAGCGATGAGGTCTCCCCTCAGCCTCCTCTTCTCCAGGCTGAACCCCCCCAGCTCCCTCAGCCGCTCCCCACCAGCCCTGTGCTCCAGACCCTTCCCCAGCTCCGCTGCCCTTCTCTGGACACGCTCCAGCACCCCAATGTCCTTCTTGTGCTGAGGGGCCCAAAACTGGACACAGCATTCCAGGTGCGGCCTCACCAGCACCGAGCACAGGGGCACAGTCACCTCCCTGCTCCTGCTGGCCACACCATTCCTGACACAAGCCAGGATGCTGTTGGCCTTCTTGGCCACCTGGGCAAGTTATTGTATAACTTATTATTATGCTATTGTATAATACTTTTAATTAAATAGCCTATTGAAAAATTGTTAAGGAAATGTAGAAATGACCGGGTGCTGAGTTGCCAAGGAGGGGGGAGCTGGTAGCCAGCTCTGAAACCTCCCGGCACCTCAGGCAGCAAAATGGAGGAACAGGTGGATGAAGTGTTCGTGGTGACCGGGCAGGTTCCTGC